AAAAAAAAAAAAAAAAAAAAAAAAAAAAACACTAGCAAGATCACCGGCCAAAAACCGGCTGCAAGGAGTTATTTACCTAGGTGGTTGGCCAGAGATTGGAGGAGGAAAAGCTTGCAGCGGAGAGGAAGAAAAAGAAAGAAAAAACAGAGGAAAATTCCAGATGAATCGCAGAATGGGGGGGGACGGCCGAGACGCAGGGAAGAAGGCTGCATGCAGCCTTATTCAGACCGATCCCGATCCGAACAAAAACTGCCGATGGGCCCCAGCGTCCAATCAACTCAGAGATTCTTGACCCAATTTTCGGACCGATCCCGGTCCGTATAATTATATACGGACCAATCCCGATCCGTATCATAAATTAATATATACGGTTTTGAAATTAATGTATACGGACCACTTTCGGTCCGTATACGTCATTTTAGTAGTGTAGGGATCGATCCCGGTCCGTATAATAATATACAGACCGGGATCGGTCCATATATATCATTTAAAAAAAACAACCAAAAGTAAAGAAAACAGATTTATTTTATTTAATAATTACGTAATATTACCAAATAATGCAAAAATATATTTTACCATGCAAAATAAATGTATTTATAAAAAAATAAAATATGCTTTGAATAATTACTTAAAATAATGACTTAAAATATGTAAAAGTTTAACTATATTATACATGACAAATTTTAAAATATAGCAAATGTAACTTAGAAAAAAAAAATAAAAAAGCTAATGTTCAGGGAATATTGGGACCGATCCCGGTCCGTATATTTTCATTAAAAATAATAATTAATTCCTAATTTTTGTCATTTAATCTTTATTTTTCACGAAAAATAAAAAATATACGGACCGAAACCGGTCCGAATATAAAAATGAAATTTCGTATTCTCTAATGGATATATACAGACCGAATCCGGTCCGTATATATTTATTTAAATAATATTTTATTCATATTTTTTGGTATTTAATATTTATTTTTTTCAGAAATACTATTCGGACCGAAAATGGTCCGAATATTATTGGCGCGTCTACACTGTGGATCCCGCCATAAATATAAGGACCGATACCGGTCCGAATATGTTCATTAAGTATATTTTCCCCCCTAACTATATTTAGACCAATATTGGTTCGAATATTTATTTTTTCGTACCGACAATATTCAGTCCGTATATGATCGGTCCGTATACATCATTTTTCTAGTAGTGTTTGGTAGAGAGATTTTGGTGCTGCAAAGCATCTTTACAAGGACAAAAGTGTTGAACCAAAAGATGATAACCCAAGAGGGGGGTAAATTGGAGTCCTTGAAAAATTTATTCAATTTTGTAGTCAAATTGATGAACAAGTAAATGCAAGAACATGCAAGTAAGATAAAGTACATAAATTAAAAGAGTAAGGGAAAAGAGAAATCAAACATGATGAATTATAATGATTCAGTCACAACTTGTAAATAATCCACTCTTACTTGAGAGTTAGATTTGAATTTAAACTTTCTCCGCCAACTCGCAAGTGTAGAGGAAGCCATGCACAATACCTTTATTAGTACTATTCACATTCAACAACTTATCCCCTTCTTACAATCTTTGTCAAACCCAATCTTAACCACTAAAAAGGTTTTCTACATCTAACAAGGATATTCCCCTAAACACTCTCTTATTCTTGAAAGAGTAATGAACACTATTAAACAAGTAACAAAGATTAAACTCAAGGAATAAAGCTTAATGATTGGATCCTTTTCACACATAAACACTAGGAGTTTTTTTTTTTTTTTTTTATTGTTACTAGTGTCTTATCAAAGTTTCTTTTATGTTTTCACAAAGTAAAAATAGTTTTTTGACTTTGTGAAAATATAAAAAGAAACTTTGATAAGACATTAGTAACAGTTGTAGGTGGAAATGAAAAGTTCTTGATTTTGTTTTATTTTATGATTCCACTAAAAGTTTTAAAACTTGTTGATATATTTTGAAACTTCTTGATATTCTTGCATTTATGAGAAGGGTCGACAAAGTACATGATTTAGACAATCTTTATATAAGAAAACTTGGTCAAAATATGAAACCTTAAATATTGTAAAATTTAAAATACTTGTTAGGTGTGATATTTAAACATGGAAACTCATTCTTTGGCTAAGGGAAGATATGAAAGATGAGATTAAATATCTTTGAGAAAAAAAAGTACCAATCATCTCATTAATTTGTTGCCAAGTGTGAATGTAAACACTTTTAAGTCTAAATAAATTGACAATTGTTGATTTTAAAAACTTGTTTTGACATTTCGAATCTCACATAAAAAATGACATCCAAGATGGTTAATTAACCAATTTGGTTTTGAAAACATTGATTAATTATGGTTATAGAATAAATATGACCAATGGGTCAAACCGTCCTCTTTTAATTTAAATTTTGTTTTTATTGAAAAAAAAGTGTAGATAAGGATATAAATTTTGCTTCTTTTTTTTTTTTATTTAAAAGTATGAATATTTTAAGATTCTAAATTATGGGGTAAACAAATTTTCATTCCTTTCTAAAAAAAATACAAACTTTACATTTTTTATATTTAAGAATTTATTAGATGTTGATGATGAAATAATAAACAACAATTTTAATTAAAATAAAACAAAATTTGTATTCTTAAATAAAAAATCTGACAAAATTTGCATCCTTAACTAAAAAAAGTCAAAATTTACCATTTGATTTAGAAATATAAAAATTAATATCTTGAATTAAAAAATATTGACGAAATTGGAATATTTATTCTAAACTTTTCTCAACAAAAATTCATAGTTTGCCCCTTAACTTTTCAAGCTTGAGGGTTTTTACCCTTTACCTTATAAAGTATGAATATTTGCTCATTAACATAAATAATTCGAGTAAATGAGAAAAAAATTTAATGTTAACTACCATGTGCACCATGTGTATATTAAGCCTCTATTTCCCAATTACACATCAATACCACCTTGACACAAATTTTACACTTCAAGATTGCACGTGATGCCACATGCATGAATAGCTAAATATGTGGGTTCCACTTTAATTTGTACCATTTGAATAAAAATCTTAAAAAACAATTAGTGGTTGTCTATATTTAATTTTTTGAGTATATAATTAGTTATAAAATAAAAATAATTACTAAATTTTAAAAAAAATTATTTAATATGTTTAAAAGTATAATAAATATATTTTTTATAATTAATTTACATAAAAATATAAGGTTAAATGCTAAATTTGATCCCTCAACTTTATGAAATGCACATTTTTGGTCCCTCAACAAAATTTTGCACTTTTTTGATCCCTCAACTATACGAAATGCTTCGTTAGTCCTTTTGTTAATTTGGGCTGTTAACCCTGCTTAGGTGGCATTTTTTATATTTTTTTTGATGATGTGGAGAGTAAAACTTAAAAAAGTGATGATATACATAAAACTTTTGCCATGTCACATGCTACCTTGGCGAAAACGAGTCAAATCCATCCAAATGGGTCCCACATCACCACTAAGAATTGCTTCTTTGCCCATTGGTTACTGCTTCTATTCTTTCCATCGACGATGTTCTTTCCATTTTTAACATTGAAATCATTTAGATAATACTTAAAAAATATGAAAAAAAAATCCCAAAAATCGCTCACAACAACCTACAATTTGGATAACTCCTTGGCAAACAAACATATAACAAAAAAAAAAAAAGTAGAGCTGAGTTCGACAGAACCCAGCTCGATTCATTGAACCCAGTTGCCCAAAAATCCCTCACAACAACCTGCAATTTGGATAATCTGTTGGCAAACAATCATATAACAAAAAAAAAAAGAAGAAAAAAAGAAAAGAAGAAAAAAAGAAAAGAAGAAGATGAAAGAATTTTTTTTTTAAATATAAATAGTAATCATATGAGTTGGCATGAAAAAAAATTCCACATCAACACGTTTTCAATTTGTTTTTACCACATCATCAAAAAAACTATAAAAAATGCCACATGAGCGAGTTAACGATCTAAATTAACAGAAGGACTAATGGAGTGCATTCTTTAAAGTTTAGGGATCAAAAAAGTGCAAAAAATTATTAAGGGACCAAAAATGTGCAACTCACTAAAGTTGAGGGACCAAATTTAGCATTTAACCAAAATATAAAATTAATGTTTATTTTATTACCCTAATAATGTGCAAAATTTTAATTAATTTTAATTAATGGATTGATTAAACTAAAATCAAGATTTATATTTTCTATACCAACTAATTATGAAAGTGTAAATATTATACCTAAACATATAATGGTACAGTTTACAAAAATTAATTTTAAAATTAAAAGTTCTTTAACATATGTTTCTAAGTGCAACCATTAAGTACATTGATTGTTTTTTTTTTTTTTTTGTCACTACTTGTAATTATTATGAAAAAATGTTATAACTACATAACTAATATCATCTGTATTGAGATTAACATATATATATATATATATATTTTTATACAAATTAGTAAAATAAAAATATAATAAATGCACTATTGAAGTAAATTATTCATTTAAATAATTCTTTAGACAAAATTATTCTTTCGTTGCCAGGCAAATTATAATATCAGTAATTAATGGAAAAATCAATAATTAACCAAGCATAATTTTTTCAATTACTTCTTACAAAAACACAGCTGATCACTTCTTACTTTGCACACTGTAGCCTCCCTTAACTTCTCTTTTCATAGCCACAGCTCAACCTTTGCTCTTTAGATTCTTCCTTTTCCTTTTTTTTTTTTTTTGAGGTTTCTTCTGAAAAAAAAAACACTAACCATGACCTCTTCTCTCTCTTTCTCTCTCTCTCTTTATGTATTTTTCTCCTTTGGTCATTCTCCAATGCTATTCAGATCCAAATCTAAAAACTTTTTCTTTCATCCATCACCAACTTCAACTTCACATCACTGTC